GCTGGCCCGACATGGAAAGTTTTAAGTTGTGACAAGAACAAATCTTTTGCTTGCAGATAGGGAGCAGAATGAGATTACTATTCTTTTAGGAGCTTCTTAGTCTTTTCTTCCTGGCTGAAGCTGAAAGGCTTCACAAAGCATGATTCACTCAGTTTCAGTGATCACCTTTCAGGGTCTAGAGATCTTGATGTATATCATTAGGAATTCCTTTTTGAAATTGGAAATCTGCAAGTGTTATTCACTGTTATGCACTGTACCTTATAAAGAAACTCTTGGGTGAAAGGGTGTGATAACAGCTTTTTCTTTTGCAATGCTATGCTATTTCCGGTAACTTACAAAAGGCTGAATTAACTTAATTCAGTCTTCCAAATGGGGGAAATGTTTCTCCTTTGGGTCTGCTGAAGCTTGGTGCTTTTAAATAAAGGATAAATATTTAACAGGTTAGGAGGAAAAGAAAATGTTGGCTTTCAGCAGAAATGCTTTTGCAACCTTGTCTTTAATGTCCATGGTGGTTTCCTCAAAATGTATATTCTCTTAAGACTGTTTTGTGAAAAGGAAGCTATGAAAAGAATCAGAGTTCAGTCTGGTACATTCATAGTTCTCTTTTTAGGATATCTACATATAAACTTTTAAGTAAGTGTTCTAACCTTAAACTTAGAAAAATAACCATTGAGAAATACCCATTGTGTAGGTGTTTTCCTGAAAAATCTTAGGGCCTAATGACCCGAGCAAACTAGAAAGTAATACATCTCATTGTGCACCATTCTGAAAGCTCTGTCAGAAACAGGGTAGACTTAGACACTGGTAAAGAAGCTGCTGGAATATTCCAGCCAGCTATCAGTCAATCTTCTTGTATCAGGGAGTTGTACTTCTGCGTAGATCATGATTTAAAGGATAAACCTTTACGTGGACTTCTTCTCTAGCTCTGGGAACCACAGTATCTTGTAATCATTTTTTGTTTTTGTTTTGTTTTTGCCAACAGTCTATTTTGTGTTCTTTGCCTGAGTTTAGATCATTGAGAACTAGAAGATTTGAACCAATAATTTTGGGCTGATACCTATCTGTGTTTCTGATTGTTCTAGTTAGTGCCCTATAGTTTGACTGTTACATAGTATTCATAAAGCATTTGTTAAATGAGAGAAAAAAAAAACCCAAAAAACGAATGGTGGCGGACCTTTTTTTTTTTCCAATGAAATTTGTTGTTACCTTTGCCTTGACTGTGCCTCTTCCTGGTTCAAAGGACAGAGTCTAGTTACTATGACATAACATGCGATTAACACTCAGTAACAGTTAGTCACCTGACTTAATGACCAAAAGTACATGCATTTTTAGAGAGCTCTTAGGCTAAGCTGGTGTGTGGCTTTCTACTTCCTCCATGACATGACCTTTTATGGTAGAAATAGGAGAACAAAAGAGACTAAGTAATAGAAGCCAAAATGCAAACAACAACAAAAAGTTTTCTTGCAACTTCTTACTTAATAATTTTCAAATATATAGAAAAGTTCAGATTATTATAAAGAGTTATATCATACCTAGATTACCAGTAGCTGTTTTTTCACTAAAGTGCTTTGCTCCTTTTGTGTGTATGTTCATGTATATATAAATTAGTATAATCTGTATAAATCAACTTAATATATACTATATATTTAGATAGTTATAAATATTTATTTATAAATTTACTGAGTCGATAATCCAATTTTCCTAATTGTCCCAAGAATCTTTTGTAGCTACTTTTTACCTTTACTGGGACCAAGTCATAGTTCTGATATTAACATTAGTTATGTCTTTTGTTTGTTAATCCTACCTCATACCTTTTCTCCTATGAAATGACTTTTTGAAGAACTCAGGCCAGTTGCTACTTCTGTTGAAGACTCTTCCACATTCTAAATTTGTCAATTTCTTTGTAGTATAATTTAACATGTTCCTTTTTTCTTTCTAATTCCTTTGAAAGACTGTTCTTTATTTTAGTGCAGAAATTGCCCCAAATTTAGCTCAGGATACATTAGCTCCCTTCAGGCTAGCTCTTACTCCTGTGATGAGTCCCTATTTGTCTTTGGACACTTTACTTTTTTGCATTAGCATAGTAAGACATTCCAAGCTTGCTTTGACCTTTCCTTATCCAAGAATGGGGTTCACCCATTTTCCAGAGAGGCTTGGTGCCAAAAAAAATTGAGGATTTGTAACTTAATGATTCACCTTTTTTCCTTTCACAGAAACTTCCCTTTATTTGATTCTCTATTGTCAGGATCACTAAATACCTTATCCAGGTATTATGGATATGTAAGACAAGGTGAAATAGGTGAGATTCTGCTGGACTAGAAGAAATCTTTTAGCTTAAAATAATCTCTTTTTACTTTGGCCCATACTAGTAGTGTATCTTATCTCTGACTCTTCCTCCCTCTACCTCTGGTTTTTCCTTACAAAAGTATTTTTTTTAATTCCTTTCCTTATCCCCCTGTTCTTTCTTCTCTGATCTTCAGTTTTATTTTTTCTGTGTAATGCATTTTAGAGTCAAGCCATTAAGCTGTGCAAAATTTCCCATTTCAGCTGATAGTTTAAGTTCTGATGTGATCTTGCTTAATACTAGTTTATGTTGTCTTATGAAGTCTTTCTTTGAATTGATTCTCATGACTGCTTATTTATCTCTGTTTGTAAATGCTGTCTTAAAAAGACTCAGTATGTTCAATTCATGCCATGATTTGGTTTATACCATTCTTTAAGTTTCTTACCTGTGGTACTCATTTGCCCAGAATTAAGTGAAACATTTATTCACATCATTGTACCTCACCAAATCCGTGAGGAGGGCATCTCCCCCTATTTATATGTTCCTAATATAAGTCTCTGTCCAGATGGGAGAGATGGTGCTGGACAAGAAGGAAAAGTGGAGCATTTTGAAATCTGTTAAGATTGAGAAAGATATAAAAAATTGATAGAGAGAGGACTATACTACCTGTTTTTACACTTGGCCACATGGCATATATTTAAATGTGTTTGCCTACAAATTTGTCTCAAATAATGACATTTAACTCCTAGGCTATATAATATGTTTGATTTTTTTCAGAGTAAAGTTCATGTTCTGTAACCAAGCTACCATGTTCACCTACAATAAACATTATTGCCTATGGTAGCAGCCTGAATAAAAAAAAATTTTACAATGTGTAATAGCAGGCAAAAGCTCCTGCTACCACTGAAAGTCATACAGTATTTTGGAACTTTATAGCAAAAAGTGTAGAAGTGTGGGCCGGCCAGATAGCTCAGTGGATTAAAGTGCCTGCTTAGGGCCAGGGGCAGGGTTTGATCCCCTGCCTGCTGTGCTGGCTCTGTGCCCAGGGTGTGCTGAGACAGCAGTTGAGACTGGGAATGTTGGTGCATGCCTGTAATCCCAGCACTTGGGAATCTGTAAGCAGGAGGATCACTATGAGTCCGATCTACATAGTGAAACCCTGTAGGCCCTCTAGTAAATACATATATATATATATATATATATATATATATATATATAGTTTAAGACATGAAGTATTCAATAAGCTTTCTAACTAATGTATTCCTCAAGCTTAGTAACCTTCTACTGGACTCTTCTAGAGACAATAACTGTTGGACATTTTCTCTTGGACAGTATCTCTTCACTGGACAATATCTCTTCTATAACCCATCTCTTGTTACTTTTTTGTTAAAGGTTAGTAATGAAAATAATGAAGCAATTGTTATTTATGCAGTCATGATTGACGTAAGTTATTAGAGGAAAAATCTGCTCAGAAGTAATGATTGAATTATGAAAGTGTTAAGGAATATTGAAACCACTCACTATTTTTGATGTTTAAGAAATATCATTCCCACTCAATCATGATAACCTGTTAAAAAAGAATTTATGCAAAATAATCCTATTGGAAATTTTCTCTTTCTTTCTTTCTTTTCTTTTCTTTTTTTTTTTTTTTTTTTTTTTGTACCAGGAATTGAAGTCGCACTTGCTAGTAGGTACTTTCCCACTGAGCTACTTCCCTGGCCCAGAACAGTAATTCTTATATCAATAACATACATAAGTATATGTTAAGAGGAAGATACAGCAATTACCTAAAGGGAAAAAAGAAGCCTTAGGAGAAAATTACCACAATGAGAAGTAAGAAATAGAACTTTGTCTTGGCTATCTTACAGACTCCTAGAGTATAAAGTTGGGTGATTTTTATTTTCATCTTGATTGCTTCTCACATTTTAGGAGCTATGAAAGAGGGTACCTCAGGTTAAGTTCCCATACTCTCTATACCAGACTGTAAAGAATATAGGGATACGTACAGACAGAAAATTATTTGGTGATGCTTTTATTAATAAAGCACGGATTTAACTCATGTTATGCAAGACAGATATCAAATTGTAATCCCTTTATATGTAATGTAAAATTAGGAACCTTTTCTTTAAATTAGGCAGTAATTATTTTTTACCAGGACAGAATCATTTTTAGTTCATGCTTGTTTTTCAACAGCTTTATTGAGATCTAATTAAAATAAAACTCGCCCTTTTCTTTTTTTTTTTCCTTTTTTTTTCTTTTCAAAGTTTTATTGATAAACATATAGCAATGAGACAGTTTCAAATCAAATCGAAAGTACAGTTTCAACAAATAATACACTGCATATATTCTTCTTAGTGGTTAATTGCTGTACAAGATGCAGACTTGTGATCCTACTTACAAACACCATTAGAAAAAATCATTCTATTCATTAAGAGAATGCAACTATATATCTATCCCAACCACTTTGAATACACAGATACAAAATGGACATTCATAGTTATACCCCAATTTTTTTAAGTTCCATTGTTGAATATTATAGGTGTGTAAACTCAGCAAAATATTCTAAAAGAGTACAGAAGCCCATAATAGCATTGGGTCTTCTGTTTAATTGGCAATGTCAGAAATTATTGACGTGAGTCCCCCACAGCTCAACATAACAAAATGGCTTTACTTCCTATATTTCATCTTCAAAACTCGCCCTTTTCAAGGGTATACTTAAAACATTCTGAGTATACTCTCATATCATCCTTGTCCAGGGATCACGCTAATCTTCTGTGTATCGTTCCAATTTTAGCATAAATGCTGCCGAAGCAAGCATGATTTTGAGTATATTCTCAAAGGTGCACAAATACCACTGCTACTTCATTGCACAACATATTCATTACCTTTTCCCCAGACTTATACATAGTGGTAACTCTTCTTTTCCTCATCCTTAATCTCTGCCATTACTACTCTACTTTCTCTGTAAGGAAGTACCTATTTTAGGCATTTCATATAAATAAAATCATACATTATATGACCTTCTGGGTCTTTCTTTGTCATTTGTCATGTTTTCATGGTTGGTATCGTTACTTCATAACTTTTTATGACCAACTAATATTTCATTAGTTGGAAGATAGTGGGTTTTCACTATTACTGATACTCTGAATATGCGCATATGAGGTTTTTATGTGAAGATGCTTTGCATAAAACATTCTTTTTTCTGGTAATTCCTGGCTGTTTATATATTTTCTTCTGGGAAAACTACCTTTTCCATTTTTAAATCGGGCTCATAATCTTTTTTCTTGTTGAGTCTTATAAAATCTTTATATATTCTGAATACCAGTCATTTATCATATATTGATTTCCAATTTTTTTTAATTCTAAAGGTCATCATTTTAATTTCTTATTAGTATTTTTTCAAGCTCAGAGAGTTTGAAACTAATAGATCCACTTAGTTTTGATTGTGTTCATAAGTGATTGTCACTTAATCCATGGTCACAAACATGCACTTTCATTTTTTCTTCTAAGAGAAATAATTTTAACTGTTACATTTAGGTAAGTGGTTCATTTTCATTTTATATTTCATATGACTTGAAATTAGGAATTCCTTTGTGTATGCCTAGACTTATTTTATTTTTCAGAATTAAAGAATTGACAGGCAAATTCTTCTTGAGATAACCATTACTACTACCTTTGTGAATTATTCTTCCATAATTTTAAGTTATACGTATATTGTTTTCATCTGATGACCTTATACTCATCTATTCTCTTACCAAATACTGCCTTTCTATCTCCATTTTGTTTATTGTAATCTGAAAAAGCAATACTTTTGTATGCAGTTTGAATCAGTATTTTCAGTTGTTTTTTTCCCTTAATTTACAATATCACCTCTTCAACTACAGTATAGAGAATGCCAAGAACTTTTAAGTCTCTATCAGAAATACCTGTCAGAACAGCAGGAGAAGCTCACCATGTCCCTCTCAGAACTTAGTGCTGCTAGGATGCAAGAGCAACAGGTAAGCATATTTATTCTTATCCTTTCTGTCTTTAATGGATCAGCAAGATGTCAGAAGCATGATTTGCCTTTTAGGTTAGTTGCCTCACACTATAATATTGTCCTACACTATGGAAATATAAAATGTGACTGAGTTCTTGTCTTTTACTCTTTTTCTTTCTTTTTCCCTTGCTCTGCCTGGGGTCAGTGGTCAAAAATGAGAACTTGAAGCAGGCTGTGAGTTAGTGGGGAACTCAGTTTGAAAACATGGCAGGAGTGATAAAGAAAATGCATGGTTTGTTGCTTAATGAGGAAAATCAAGTAGGCTATTTGTTATTCATTGCTTCTTTGGAAAGCACTAAAAAACCTTTTCTAGTTGATGTTTATAATTCTTAGCGTAAAAGTAGCTACATGACATGTGTAAAATTTAACTGAAAAAAATTGAAACATTTTACATTTTATGTGTATGAAGCATGATTGAAAGATACTGTGTGCATTTAAATTTTAAAAAATTAATTATTACAGTAAAGGACATATTGCCATTAATCTCCTTCAAAATGTCCCTTGTTTTGAACACTTACCCTAGCTTGTCACTTTCTGAAGCAGTTCTAGAATTCCTTTTTCATGAGTGTCTTTTGTTGTGCTGTATTGGCTGCATTGATGTCCTAATTCAATTTAAGACATCTAACTTTCATGATCATTTTGACTTTGAGAAAGAACCAGAAGTCACATGAAGCCTGAAGGTGACTGAGGACATGCTGTAGTTAATGTTTTCGTAAGCCTGCCTTTCTGTTAGATGGCACTCAGTATCATGCTAATTTTTATCATATTTCATAAGTGTATAGAATAAAACTTTTAGAACTAGTAAAAGAAAGTGGTAAGAAAGGAGTTGATGTCAATGTGTCT